AATCCCTGCATGCCTGCATCCCTAAATTCCTGCATGCCTGCATTCCTACATGCCTGCCTCCCTGTGTCCCCGAATCCCTGCATGCCTGCATCCCTGTGTCCCCGAATCCCTGAATTCCTGCATCCCTGTGTTCCTGCATGGCTGCATCCCTGTGTCCCTAAATCCCTGCATGGCTGCATCCCTGTGTCCCTAAATCCCTGCATGGCTGCATCCCCGAATCCCTGCATGCCTGCATCCCTAAATTCCTGCATTCCTACATGCCTGCCTCCCTGTGTCCCCGAATCCCTGAATTCCTGCATCCCTGTGTTCCTGCATGGCTGCATCCCTGTGTCCCTAAATCCCTGCATGGCTGCATCCCCGAATTCCTGCATGCCTGCATCCCTGTGTCCCCGAATCCCTGATTTCCTGTATCCCTGTGTTCTTGCATGGCTGCATCCCTGTGTCCCCGAATCCCTGAATTCCTGTATCCCTGAGTTCCTGCATGGCTGCATCCCTGTGTCCCCAAATCCCTGATTTCCTGCATCCCTGTGTTCCTGCATGCCTGCATCCCTGTGTCCCCAAATTCCTGATTTCCTGCATCCCTGTATTCCTGCATGCCTGCATCCCTGTGTCCCCAAATCCCTGATTTCCTGCATCCCTGTGTTCCTGTATGGCTGCATCCCTGTGTCCCCGAATCCCTGCATGCCTGCATCCCTGTGTCCCCAAATCCCTGAATTCCTGCATGCCTGTGTTCCTGCATGCCTGCATCCCTGTGTCCCTGAATCCCTGCATCCATGAATTCCTGTATCCCTGCGTTCCTGTATGCCTGCATCCCTGTGTCCCTGCATTCCTGAATTCCTGTATCCCTGTGTTCCTGCATGGCTGCATCCCTGTGTCCCTGCATGCCTGCATCCCTGAATTCCTGTATCCCTGTGTCCCTGCATGCCTGTGTCCCTGAATTCCTGTATCCCTGTGTCCCTGCATGCCTGCATCCCTGAATTCCTGTATCCCTGTGTCCCTGCATGCCTGCATCCCTGAATTCCTGT